AAGAATGAGAAAAGTTAGTGAATGAGTGATGTAATATAGTGAAAGTTTCTTTGTAAGAATGTACACAGGACACTAGCCGAATCAGGGATAGACTACACAATTGTGAAACACTAGTGGCGAGCTAATCCGCATGAAGCTAGGATGTATGACATGGTCATGTGAGTGTGACTGAATCTGGTGAGAGAGAATGTGGTTCAGAAGAACGTACGACTGTCAGATAATACCACGGCTGCTTCTGAACTACTAGCATACGTGTACGAGTGTAAAGGGGCCATAGCGGCCGCTAATTAAATTAGCGTATGATATTACAATATATAAGAAGCCGGCGTACGCCTGTAATCGTACGCTGGCTTAAGCAACCTTTGAATCACAAAATGTCTAAAAATAGTAACTTTATATCAAGAATAAGACTAAATGAGATTAAATAAAACCACTTTCTCATTTTTTTCAAGTCATGATTTCATTTTAAGATCTGATATATAGTCACTTTATATGTTTTTTTAATAGCCAGTCCCAGCGGGATTCACGCCAAGAAATGTATGAGACCAGACCAAATGAGACCAAATGTGAAATTCATGATGAGGTCATGATTATGTAACAAGGTCAAGTGGCGCACTTAGTGAGGTCAAGTTTTCTGTATACACTATTAAGATTTTGTAGAATAGTTGAAGGTTGTATTGATAGATCTATCTACAGGAACATAATATAGTGATGAGTCACATGATCTAGTGGGATCACTAACCGCAACAGCTGTAAGGGCCAACACCCCCCCTCGAGATAACAAGAATCACATACAAAAACACCCAAACCACCAAGATAGTCTGTCAAAACCAAATACAAATGTAAAATTAAACATTCCCAACTTTTATGCCTGTAAGGCCTAGCAAAACCATGAATCATGCAAATGTCACATTGTCTAGAGGTTTAGTGAGTTCATTCACTGCCATCTGAGTGATGAAAATGTATTCTAAATCAATAATCCCCTGATTCAACTGTCAACATGAAAAATGAAAATGCATGTCAATGTGCTCACTTCAGGCTGTAATGACTGTCATCTTTGTGAGATCTATGACATTCTTATTATCAGTGAGGATTCATATCAGAGATATAGTGATGAAGCCAAGCTCAATCATGAGATTTCAGATTCATGTTGCCTCATGAATCACCTCACTAAGAGTCACATATTCAGCCTCATTGAAACTTAGAGATACACAAGGTTGCTTCACTGAATGCCATAAAATCAGGCTGTCTGCAAGCTTAAAAATGTAGCTGAATATTGATTTTCTATCATCATTCAAGGAGCTGGCTCAATTGAAATCTGAGTAGCTGAAGAGTAGGTAGGAATCATCAGAAAAATCAGGGATAATAGAAAGATTGATAGAAATGAACCCCTCATACAGACTGTGTCTGTAGAAAATACCCAGATTTATAGTCTCTTTCAAATAATGTATAATGTGTAATAGAGCCTTTCAACATTGAGGTGTTGAATCAATGTTCTGTTGAGTAAGTAGCAAGACAGTGTGAGTGATATCAGGATGTGTTTTAACTGTGAGATATTGCAAGCAACTCACACCATGTTGATATCACTGAATTGTGAAATCAGTCTCTTTCTCAGGTATAGGGGAATCATCAATGCAGAATTCATTCTTCATTGATATTCTAGCAACAGCTGCATCATCAAGGTAGAAATCTTCAACAAGATATTTGATATATTGATAATATATCAAATCAATTCTCTTGTTCAAACAATTGATCTTCATACTCAAATACTTGATTGACTGATGTAGATTCTTGACTTTCAATTTCTTACTAAGCATACTTACTAGCCAATCAGCATTCTCAGAAGCTTCGGATATGATGTTGAGATCATCAATATAGATTGTCATATAGAGGTGATGTCTGAATGTATAATATCAGAGTGCTGGATCATGAGCGCTGACTGTAAATCCAAGATCGCTTAACAGAGCTGTTAAGTAATTATACCAGATCTTCACTGCAGAGTCCAGGCTGTATAGACTACTCTCAACTGTGCAGACAAGCATTTTCAGTGAACCTGTCTTAAATTCAGTGAATTATCTCATATAGATCTTCTTAGTGAGACACTTATGAAGATATATCATCACTATATTCATCTGACAGAGTGTCCAACCGTGTAGTACTGCTATTGTAAAAAGAATACAATTAGCAGTATCAGTGATGACTGAAGCATAGATCTCTTCTCTAGAATCCTTCTTAAGTCAGTTATTACAAATCACTCAATGTAATTTTCTAAGAATATTATCAGAATCAGTATTTAAGTCTGTGAGCCTATCTTTCTCAAGAAACACTCAATGACCTGAAGTAATCAGTTCACCCCTCAGGACATCAGATCTAGGGATCAAACTCCATGTATTGCATCTCTTCAGGTCAGTAATCTCACATTGCATGGACTTCTTTCAATAATCTCCTACCTCTTCTGGCTGAGATGTGGCATCCTTGTAGAACTTTGAGAGGTTGCCTGTAATAAGGCTTGAAGTGTAAGTAGCCAGCGATTTCGCGGGCTGCAATCATGTAGAATTTGAATCATCAATGTCAGAGGTGTCTCCATTATCAACCAGATGAATATCAGGCTCTGGTTCAACAATATGATTGATGGGTTTCACAGATGTAATAATCAGTTTTTCAGTGATCAAGAACCTCACATCACTACTGACAATAATCTTATCAGATTCAGAATGCTATAGGCAATATATCAATGTGTCACTGAATTCAATGATATGATAGAAATCAGCATGTGAAGAAAGCTTATCCGCGGGCTGCTGAGATTCATGCAAGTGAACAAAAATCTCTGCACTCAATCAGTGAAAATGCCTTACATTCAGCAGGGTATTCATAAGTGCATATCAAGAAATCTTATATGAACTTGAAGTCACAGAGATCTCTGCAGTAGAGGATCAAAATTTCAAGTTATAAAGAACTGTAGATGTGAGAGTATTATTGATTATTGCAATCACTGTCTCTAGAACATCTGCTCAGAACTTCTTAGAGAGATTATCTTTCAAAAGAGCAGCTCTAACTCATTCCATGATAGTACAGATCTCATGTTTGAAAATGCCATTCTGGTGTGGTGAATGTGGTGCTGTTGATTCCCATTTAATATCATATGAATTCATAACTGTGTGCATACATGTGGATCAGAAAACACCATCAATATCAGTCTGTAGAAAAGCAGAGACTGTATATCTGAGATTACTCATGAATCTGAGTCACAACTCAAAGTATTGAACAGTCTCATCCTTGAACTTTAAAAAATACACTCAATGGTAGTGGGTCACATCACAGGTGATAAGCATTCAGTATTTCATTCCCTGGCGGGACTCTAAGAGGTGATCAGAGAGGTCTTTCAATGTATGTTCATCACCTGCAAGGTCAATATGAACCTTCTCAATGAGTTGAATAGATCTAGACATCAGTGTTTTCAAATAATCTCACATCATACCAGTCTTGACACATTCCTTGCAAAAGAACTTAGTCTTAGAACCTTTAATTGTGACTTCAGTATGAGAATCCTTGGCCATAGCAATTATAGCATCAGTGTGAATGTGACTGAGGTCACAGTGCCAGTTCAAAAGAGTCTTTGATATTCTTGTATTCTTGAGGCCTGTATTCGCGTCCGCAGAATTGACATTATTAACAGTAGTAGCAGCAGTCACAGAAAGATCAACTTTTCAATCAAAATTGTACTTGTGAGGCATCATCACAATATACTTGACTGCTCTGTTCAGATGATTGAGATTCTCATTGAACTCTCACTCATTGATCTTATATATGTTGTTCTGAGTGATCTGAACTGCATGAAAAATAACACTGTTCAGGGCTCTGCAAATGAAAAATGAGGGAATAGTGAAAGATAATGTAAATTGAAATCCCTGATCTTCAAGCTTCACAAATGAGAGCAGATTAACTGTAATATTAAAAATATAGTGAACATTCTGCAAGTTAACATCATCACTCTCAATCTTCAAGATAACAGTCTCAATCTTCTTAACAAACTCAGTTTCTTCAGTTACAGAATCAACAGAGATATTATCATTAAAAGGTTTGATATTTGAAAAAGAATAAAGCTCATCTGTCATATTCAGGCTTACACATGTGTTCAAATATCAAGATCTAGAGAATGATTTTTCAGTGACTGTGAAAGAGAAATAGAACTCAATCTTCATAATTACTGCATTTGCTACTGATTAAGAACTTATCAAGTCATTCTTCTTCTCTTTCTTCTTATCATTCTTCTTATCATTCTTCTTTTTCTTTTTATCAGAGTGTAAGATGAAACACCTGTCAACAGTATATTCATATCTTCTACAGTGAGTGCACTTTCATACAGATATGCTTTTGTCCTCATCTTTATCCTTATCTTTGTTCTTATCTTTATTCTTTTTCACAGTCACAGAATCAGTCTGAGACTGCTTTTTCCACTCAGTGATAATCTTCTTGAATGTACAATTGATCAGTTACTTTATCAAATTATCAATATCAATGTTGATAATGAGTCTCTGATCAGTGAAGAAAAACTCATTCAAACATGTCTTGATAAACAGTCTTTGATAATCTTATAGATTGTTGAGAAAGAGATCATGATATATATTCTCAGTGCTCTGACAGAGCTTCTTATGACAGATAACAAGATAGTGAAAACATCTCTGAAAAGTAAGATAATCATTCTCCTTGACTTGTAATTTTGTCAATTTCTTGAAGACATTAACTCATTCCTCTGTCAGTGATATTATATATTTCACATTGATCTTGTCTCACAGAGCTGCAGCATTATCAGCTTTCAAGGTTTTAATAGTAGTTCAAATATTTTCAATAAGACTTGATAGCATACACCTATATAGAGACTTAGAACAGATTCTTCACTTCTCAAAGTCAATATAATGTGTAAAAGAGGATTCTTGTTGAGTTCTCAATAGAATATCAGTTTCATCAATAACTTTCACATCAGTCAACATATCAACACATCAGACTTTATAATTAGAGTCATTAAATGTGGTCACTGATTTGATGTCTAGTGCATATTTGACTTTCTTCTGATATTTCTGTAACTCATCTCTTGTAGTGTCTCTTTGTGCAGAGACAGATGTAGTGAGATGTTGAGCAGTTTCAGCTGCAGTTATCTGGTTCTGTAGCATCATCTGTATAAGATTCATAAGATTGCCTGCGGTGCAATAGATAGGTTGATTTGAATCATCATTAAAAGTCAGTATTCCGGGGGTGAGAGATGATGAAGAATTCAATGAGTTGAAATGAACAGATTCTGCAGATAAATGTTGACTCTGCTTTTCTTTATTCTGAAGTTCCTTCATTGTCTCATCATCAAATTCCATACTCTGGTGAAAACTGACCTCAGCCTTATCTTGCAAGTCAGAAGCCTTCTCATAATGAGTGATCATTCTATCAATGAGTCATCTAGTGAAGTGTGTGATTCTGAACCTTGAGCTGAACTCTGAAGTAACAGATGTATCACTCATATTGAGGTGGCTCTGCTTCTTCTAGATGTGTAAAAAAAAAAAAGATAAAAAGTGATATTCTTCACAATAAAGAACACACTTTCTCAAAAAAAATAAAGTATATAAATTCACTGACTGACAGATTCAGAGAAAATGAAATATCTCTAATAAAGAGTAAGAGTCTTTTCAAAAAAGATGAACTATTCATGTCAAAAATATGTTGGTACAACATTCTAAAAAGAAAAACATGCCATCCAGGCTATAACCTGTAGAATAGTTGAAGATTGTATTGATAGATCTATCTACAGGAACATAATATAGTGGTGGGTCACGTGATCTAGTGGGATCGCTAACCGCAACGGCCGTAAGGGCCAACAGATTTATGGTTCGGCGACGGTGTCGCTGACTGGCATGGCGGAACAACCATAATCCGGTCGTATATTAAGTCTACGTTTTTCCGCTATGGTTGTTATGCTGGCTGGACACTCATGCTTGGATGCCACAGCTGCATGCGTAGGCATCGGCACTTATGCTGAGGGAACTACACCGCTGAGAACGGGGATGGGTTCCCATTGTAGCTATAATCCCGACATTCTTGCTTGTTTTGATGATCATTTCTACCCCCTTGCCTTGTGCAAATGCAGGCCTACACTTATACCGGGATGAAGTCGCGGCATGATATTGCCATTTAGGCCTGCCTGAGCTTGGTTGCGACCTGTTACATGCATGCGCAATTTTGGCACCGGACACCTTCTTGTTGACCCGAAAAACTATACACCGCTGGAATCAGGGATAGGCTCCCATTGCAACTGGTGACCTGTACGGGTCCAATTGTTTTGACATCACTAGCCTGTTGCCTTGTGCAAAGGCAGGCCTGCGCCTCATCATTTTCTAGTCTTTCACCTTCTTGCCTGCAAGCATAAAAGGATAGAAGCAATCCATAATGCTCTGTATTTCGACATATCGCACTGCAAGAATTCCTCACAAGTTTCCTTCCCTCTACCGAGTACTATCTTACGCGAGAACAATGGCAACCATCACCCGCCGTGTCACTGACCCGTCTGGCATAGCCTCACATTTTATCACAACCTTGGAGGACATGAAAGGCGAGGTGGAACACCTTGAAAGGATTAAAAACGTCCTTGACGAATTCCCCATCGAAATATGCAATGATGACACCACCAAACCTCAACCCACTGCCTCTCAAACACTTGAAAATCTTCAGGAAATGGTCCAGGAAGCCATAAAATACCGAAAACGCAGCATGGATAAAACGGAAGTTACGCTCAAAGAACTCTGCAACACCAGCGATGTCGATGCCAAAGTTATAGCCCGAACGTTTGAATACCTCCAGTGCCATCAAGCCGACCGATGTGAAATGGAACATCAACATCTTGAGAGCCATCGCACCTACCGAAGCGAATCCGAAAAGGAATGCCATGGCAGCAGTGAGGCGGAAAATGAGCGCATCTAAGCTGAAGAACAGCTTGCAACCACCCGCGTTTTTCTTATGTTTAATATGACGTTGTCTGCCTTATGACACTTACAACCTTTTTCAAGCGAAGCCATGCTTGCCTTTCTTTTTACTTGCAATTGTTCTGATAAAGAGTGGTGATGTTGCTGGGAATTAAAACAACTGAGAGTGTGTGGTTTGTCATTGTCCAGATTGATATGCCGCATATTTGTCCCTATACCAATGTTAATTCAATTGCTCTCTTGATATGATCTCGCAGACCCGGCACCGCTGGAATCAAGGGGCTTCCATTGCAAGTGGTGGCGTACTTGATCCAGTACGGCCGCTGGATTCAGTATCTACGCGTGCAAGAATTGTGAGTGAAACTAAACTTCAATACCGAGTATGCGTGAACCCTGGGCTCTCGGCTGTGTGGCGATTCCGACATGCTGGGTTTTGTTAAATCAAAAAAAAAAAATGATTGGCCAAAAATAGAACATCCTTGCTTTGCGCCAAATGAAGAGTTGCATCCGGAAAATTAGAAATTCCGGGTGCTGAGTGATGAATTCTGCCCAGTTGTAGGAAGCTATCCGATTTTGCACTTCTATCAGACCACAAAACAGCTTGAACATGAATTTTGACAGTCAGATCTAAATATGTTCATAAACTACCAAGTGTGACATTTATCAAATATATTCTTAGCACCTTATTGCTGATCCAGGAAACTATATCGGCTAGAATCAAGGGATGGGCTTGGCTTGTATGGATAACCGCCTTGCTGCAGATTTTGATGGAAGATGGTCCTTGAAGCAAGCATGCGCAGTTTTGATACCGGCGCCTTATTGTTGACCTGGGAAATGATGCACTGCTGGCATCGGGGGATGGGCTTCCATACCCTGTCCCGTGCATCAAGTCTCAAGCCAAACTTTTGTCTCTCGATTGTTTTGACAATCATCACTAGCCCCCTTACCTCGGCCACCCACGCTTGTTACTCACGGGAGGAAGTTGCTCTTGTAGCTGCATGGCCTTTTGCCTTGCACATGCGCCCTGTTACATGTAGTGATTTGGGCTGCAAAAAACAGCTCTCTCATAATTAGCCTGATTGCTAAATTCAACTAGACCAATGATTGACTACTATCCAGCTGCAGTTGCTGTGTCACGAATTCTTTGCTTTGGGGATTATACAGTCCGCGTCCGGGTTTGGTTGTGTCATATTTGTTTTGGCACCGGGGGCCTTACTGCCGGGGGACAAATTGGTGGGCCCATGCCTATACACGTCAACACGTCTATTCATGAGACCTGTGCGAAAAGTTATTATCCCGACAAAGACAGCCCCCGTGGCGAGTATCAATTAACATGGATCTAAGCTCATTGCCTTGTTTGAATGCTGGCTGGTCATCCATGCTTGGATGTTTTGATCCCACACCTGCATTCGTTCGCATTTTTGGCACCGGCGCCTTACCGCCTTAGCCACCATAATTTTTACTCATGTATGTACCGGGGGAGGTAATGATGAGCTTCCAGAAATGGGCGGCCAATGCCGCTTCCTCCAACTTTAAAGGGGAAGATATCCCCTCCCCCAACAATGATTTTTATGTCCGAATTAAATCTCTTTTACTTGCCTTATACTCTAGATTTTACAGAACATCGGAATAAAAATCCGTTGCGAGCACGTCATCCGAGCCATGGCAGATCAGGCTGATAGGTTTGATGTCATGTGCGTCACATTTGCAAATGTCTCAGACCTTGCAAAGAATCAAGCTGAACAAATCACTCAGCTGACTCAAAAGTTGATCAATGCTGTAACAAAGATTTGACAAGATGCACAAACTGCGGCAAATGCATGTCAAGAACACTTACAGGCCACAATTTGCAAGCTTCGCACGCAAGGGAATGCAACAAAGAAGAAGATCTTACAAGATAATGAGCTGAATACACCACAGACTGTAAAGACAAACTTCATGCTACTGTTTGAGCTGTCAAAACACTCAGAATACTACAGTAAAAGAACAAAATATTCAAAGAAATTGAATGCTGTGAGATTTCAAACAGTTCATGAGCTATGTGAAAGTTATTATAATGCTATTATTACTCTATCAATGAGCTATTCTACTGTAGCATGAATGCAATCAAGTGTGGAAGTATTTAACAGTCTGATAAAGATGTTGAAGAAGAATGCAGAGAAAGAAGAAGAAGTGAATTGACTATGTAAGATTTTGAATATCATGAATACACTTGAAGAAGAGAGGCTGATGTGTAGAGAGTTTAAGATTCTTCATGACATGTGTTCACTCTCATTTCCCAATATTTTCTTCACTGACAGAGTAACCGTGTCATGCTTACTCACTCTCTGTAGTAAGTGTGCCACAGCATACAGAAAACCACACTGTAAAGAAAATATTTTGAATATAGTAATCTTCAAAAATTAATTAATAATCACTATCACATCTATCTATAATATAAAGATTATCTATATACTCATTAGAAGGTGTACAATTCACTGTAAGTTAAGATTCTATAGAATTATCTTATTATAATTGAGTGACTGTAGATTTTATAGATTTGATTTCAATTAATTAAAGAGTTTTATTAAACATCTTTTTCATCTCATCTATTCTACAGATTGTAATCTTACAATTGACATTCTTAATAGTGAAAACTTCATCTACTTATATCTATCTGTGAGAGAATTTGATGATCTGATGTCTATTTGCTTAATAATGATCTGCAAGTTCACTCTTATAATATGTATTCAATTCTGTCTGAATTAGACTGGCTGCTGAGATCATGAATTTCACATTTGATTTCATTTGATCTGGTCTCATACATTTCTTGGGGTGAATCCCGCTGGGACTGGCTATCAAAAAAACAGGTAAAGTGACTATATATCAGATCTTAAAATGAAACCATAACTTGAAAAAAATGAGAAAGTGATCTCATTTGATTTCATTTAGTCTCATTCTTAGCATAAAGTTACTATTTTTAGACATTTTAAGGTTTTTTTTAGACTATTTTTAATTTTTTAAAAAGTAACACTTTTTGATAACACTCAAATGAGATTTAAAGTTATTTAAAGCAATAAAAATAATTTAAATTGAGAAGTGAAAATCATGATCTCATTTGAAAAATATGATAAGAGTAGACAGTAAGTCTCACTGAGACAGTATGAAACTACTATTTAATGTTAAAACTGTGTAATGAGATCAGTTGAATTGATAATAAGACTATCAAAAAATCTGATCCTGGTCTCAGACACGGTCACACAGTCAGTCTAGTCTGAATCATACTATTCTTGAAGATCTTGTTCAACTGCCTTGTTAAATCAGATATAAGAGTATTCTTCACATCTTCTAAGGTCTTGATTACTGTATTAATTTAATAATGTAGTTTTACAATCATCTCTGAGAAGATTAATTATGAGAAGATAGTTGATAATTAATCTACAGATGATGAGATAAAGTAATTACATATATTATTATCATCATCATATATGTTGAGATCTGAGGCATTATTTTAGATTTATGAGTTTTTGCTTGACTTGTTTGTAATCTGACAGGCATTTGATGAATTAATATATTCATATCTTACTTACTGTGAGAGGTGCAGTCTCTGAATCTGTATAATACTATCTTAACATACAGTTTGCAGCAGCTTTGATATGCTTGATAATAAATGAGCAAAAATTAATATTCAACTGGTAAATTCATATCTTAATTATCTCTTTCTGACTGTCATTCAATGCTTGATTCAGTGAAATTTGTATAGTTCTTGATTTCTTCTCATTGATCCTCTCATACAAGATAACATATGAGACTTTGAATTCTTATGACAGAGATGTGATTTTTAATTTTGAATTGCTTTTATATGTGTTAACAGCTCTTTACAACTGCTTCTCAGTGTAATTAGAAGATTTAGACATGATTATAATTAATGATGATTATTTGAAGATGAAGAATGAAGATATTGAAAATATTTTCTTTATGATGTGGTTTTCCATACACTGTGACGCACTCACTACAGAGAGTGAGTAAGCATGGCATGATTACTCAGACAAAATCTCTCAGTATTAAGAGATTAATCTCTCTTCCACCTCCTTGTCTCAACATAGATCAATCTCAAGTGTGTTGACTACACAGAATGAATACTCACCTACGATGAGTGAGTCAACATTTTACTCAGTATGTAAGTGTGGCAGCTTAACAGCGGATCAGCTGCCAAATCTACAGCAAATAGAATCAACAGCATCAGTCTTCTATCAGCGTATGACAAGTTGAACAATCATCATTTCCTCATTTAGACATGGCTAATCAATGAATAGAGCGTAAAAATTCCAATTTTGAACTGCTAGCTAGCCTCAGCACTGGACGGGACCAGCTTGGCACTTACCATAATACAGTTTATTCTTCAAAAAGACGCAAGCCTGAAGACCCACAATCACTGTTCCGAGATATATTGCAACTAGCTGAAACGGCGCTTCAGAACAGAGAAAGAAGTCAAAACATCGTGTCTGACTGCATTGTTTCTGAAGGATAACAATATCATTCAGAATGCAATGGAATCGGAGACGGCTCCTTCTATGTGCTGCCGGCCTGTATTTACTATCTGATGCCCATGTTAGATTTTCATTTGTACAGTTTGTTCCTGGTTGTACTTTGTTAAATCAAAGCAAATGATTGGTTTACTCAATCCTTGCCTTTGCATCTGGAAAATTAGAAATTCCGGGTGCTGGATGAATTCTGCCCCAGTTGTAGAAAGCTATCCGATTTTACACTTCTATCAGATCACAAAACGGCTTGAACCTGAACTTTGACAGTCAGATCTAAATGTTTATAAACTACCAAGTGTGATATTTATCAAATATATTCTTGGCACCTTATTGCTGATCCGTATTCTCCTTTTGATTTCAAACTATTCTAGCGGCATCGTCTCGCCAGCATGCCCCTGTCAACTATTTGCACCTCTCCTTAGCAATCTCTGGAGATCCACATACGCGTTCAGCGTTATAACCGGCATTCTCGTCATCAGATGCGATTACCGAGATCAAGTATGAAGAAAAAAGCAAGCATTAGATTGGTAAATAAGGCCTCCCACGATGGGCCTCTACCGCGCGAGACGTGAGCAACGATAGCGACAAGTCATCGACCGTATGTGTCCCACATTTCCGGTGTGATTGTTGTAGTAGTATAAGCGTACTCGGCTTCAATCCAGGCTTCCCAATCCCAATCAATCCAGTCATTGAATTGCATAGCCATAGTTTTATTCCACCGTAGAAGAGGTGAAATGTACTGACCAAGGAACAGGTTTGATTCAATAGCGACTGGATCATTTCTTCTCCGACCGAAAAGAGCACCAGCAAAGTCAAGGAACAGGAGATTTTGTTTTGAATCAAAACCGGGCTTCTCTACCATGATGACATTTCTAGGGCTTAGATCCGTGAGTAAAATATTTTGCTCATACACTCGACTTTCGAAGTTGATAACCGATTTCATGATCTCTTGGCGAGAATGGCAAGAAAACTTTTGTGGATTGGCTTGTTGCATTGATATCCCTGGTATATACTCCAGCAGAATAAGTCGAACAGTCCGGATTTTAGACCCCTCAACAGCAATATTCAATGAATACGATCCGTAGAACCTGGGTACTTGTTTCCCCTGTGACTCAGACAGAACATCATATGCATGGGTTTCGTGGGTATAGTGTTTGTCCACACAAAGAAAAGGATTAAGAAATCCTTCTTCATCATCGAAATAAAGAGGGTCGTATATTTTGGCAACCAATGCTCTATCTGACTGAAAGCATGGAGGATGAGGTCTAACTTCAAGAACCTCAACAGTGAAAACTTGCGCATTGCAGCCATCCCCGACCCTCAATAAATCAAGAATCTTCAAGTCGACGATGCATGATCCCATGCTTCCTGGCAAAGGAGGATGCCGCAAGCACCGCTCAAGTGGATGAAATTGTCTTCTCTCTGCCCTGCCAGTTTGAAAATTGCGGCAACAGTCTTTGGTTACTGGTGTAGGCGGTGGAGGAATGTGTGACTCAGCGGTGAAAACCCAGCCCTCAACATAAGGGACTGGGGGTTTTGGAAGGTCGGTGGATGGAGGATCCATGAGGCGTTTGTTGTTCGACAGAAATATGTGGACGGCAATGGATAACGGGAGGAGGTTCTTTGTTAGAGGATAACGTTGTTGTATATGTGTAATCTATCTAAGGTGAAACTATATATAAGTTGGGTGGCACGTGATTAGGGTAGATCTTGGAGGATAACGTTGTTGTGTTGTAATCTAACTACGCGAGTTACACTAAATGAATAGGTTGGGGTGGCACGTGACTAGGGTAGGTGTTATTATTATTATTATTATTATTATTATTCTTCCATTATACTCATATGCAAGCGGAGCTTATGATGAGTCCTTGCGTGATGTTAAATACAGGCCAAGTGTTGGTTATACAGGAGGAAATACAGGTGTTGAGACCACGCCAAGATAACAAGAACATAGGAAATACAAAGGAGTGACAATTAGATACATGCGATAATAACTTCCCAGCCCAGGAACATAGAGCGATTTTATTGGAGCGATTTGTACACCTCTGTATTTATTAGGAACCTGAGGTGCTTGAGTTCCGGATTTAATGTATCCCCTGCGGGTTTCAAACCCACACACGCCTTGGTTTCCCACGCCAAGGCGCTACCGGGTGGCCGCATTAACCATTCGGCCACCGGGGCCTAGAGTAGGTGTAGTAATCACCAACACCCCCCCTTGCTACACTGTGGCCTATAAGCCGCCACCCGGGGCCTCCCCCATCCTCAAATCTTTCAAAAATGCAATAATAATTAATTACATCAATCAGACCCTGATTTTCTTATTAGGAAAGGCATCTGTACAGTAATAACTGTAAAAATCAAGAAATACATGCAAAATTCACTGATTCACTGTATCATTATTATCATTCAATCATTTCTTTCTGATCTCTTTCAAATCAATCCTTTTGACAAAATCTTCAAACACAGGCTTTGCTAGTGGCTTGGTGAGTTCATCAGCTATATTCACTGTAGAATCAACATGTTTCATCATGATTTCCTCTTTTTCAATCAAATTGTAAAGAATATGATATCTAATCTTGATATGATATAACCTTTGTGTTAAGAATTTCTCCTTTGCTAGATCAATTGCTCTCTTATTATCAACTTGTAGATGTGAGCATATTTTCACTTTTTCATCATTCATCAACTCAGTGTTATATAATATGTCATTTAATCAGATTATCTTACAAGCTGTCTTACTAGCTGTAATATATTCAGCTTCTGTGATTGATTTGATAATAGATGTCTGTCTCTGTGAACATCATGAGATCAGTGACTCATTAATCAATATAACATAGTCAGTAGTCAATTTGTATTGAGAATTCATCTCTGATCAGTCTGAATCATAGTATGTTACAGAACTCAGACTTATATCACTGATCTTCTTTCTGTATAATATATCATGATTTTTCATCTTCTTGACATAATGTAGAACATGCTTCAACGCTGCTCAACATGCTTTGTGTGAACATGAGTTAAAATGCGAGAGATAGTTGACCGCGAATGCCAGGTCTGATCAGCTGCTTGAGATCAAATACTGCAATGATCTCAATTCTTGATGATATCTTGTAGTTATAAAGTCATCATTCAATTCATCATTCTCATCAGGTGAAAACTTCAGTTATATATCTGTCATCATTGAGGTCCCTGCAGGATTCATCTTATTCATGCTGAAATCTTCAAGAATCTTCTCAATATAACAGCTCTGTGTAACTGCTAGATTATCATTTCTCTGATATTTAATCTTTATTTCAAGATATGACTTGATCTCTTCAATATTCTTTGTCTCAAATCTCTTTGTGATCTCTTTTAATACTCAGTCTAATTGCTGTTCTTGAGATTCTGTCATCTGACAATTATCAACATGCAATATCAGATAGATCTTATGAACAGAGTGATATAGAAATTCACTGTTATAAGATAATATCTTGAATCTCAATATAGTCAGATACTCTATTATGAGGAAATATTATATTCTTACAGCTTGCTTCATTTCATATAGACTCTGATAAAGTAATCTTATCAAGCTTCTTCTATCATGCTTAACATCTGTGAACAGTTGCATATAGATCATCTCATTCTGTGATAATATATCATTCAAAAACATAAATACATAGTCAATTGATTTGATCTTTCATTCTTTAACAGTTGATATAGTGAATAGACTGTGTGATGTAGACTCTGATACTACTACAGTATATAATCTCATATAATGAATACTCTGCTATTGTAAGAACTCTCTAATCACTCAGTGAGCTCTAAAGCAGATAATTTCTTTCTTATTATTAAATTTCTGATTATATACTCATTTATCTGTAAGAATATTCATTTTCAGAGCCTTCTTAATAATAATATATATCTTCTTCTATTCAAATATTTTAATCTTCTTTTTCATTGCTTCATGTCAATAGTCTCAGTCTGAGCTTCTCTTAACTTCTGTTAGTGTAGTTGATCAGTCTGTCAGAACACTTAGAACAGAATTATTTTTATTAACAGAGTCTTCAAACTCTTCATTTATGACAAGCTATGTCTCATTATCTAGAAGATAGATTGAATCAATTACTCTCTCTAAGTTCTCATTGATAATCATCTTCAAAACATCTGACTTTTTCTTTATTAGATGTCATAGTAAGCAGTGCTGTCATTCTTCTCTGACATTCAGAATGTTCAATTTATTAAGCAATTCATTGAATTCTCTCACTGTATTTACAGGTGTATTTGCACTCATGTTAAGAGCTTCATCAAATATGATATCTCATGCAATCTCAAGACAACATGCAACAGAATTCTATACATGATATTGATGTAATTCTTGATATTCAATCAGCTGTCATTCTCTGCTGTCAGTTCTATCCGCGAGCTTATTTAACACTTTTAAATTCTTCTTGTAGATCTTGCACCTCTATCTTCATATTCAATGAACAGAAGATTGCATCTCAGTTCACACTTCAAAAGATGTAAGTGATGTTTCTTTCTTGCATTCAAATATCTTTATTAATGTTAAGAATGTGTTGATTATCATGATCACAGCTTGTATTACTTCATCTCAAAGTTCTCTTTCTAATTTACTATTAAATAGTAGACTTTACATCTTTTCTGCAACTATTTGATTCGCATGTTTCACTAGATTATTTGATTGTGATGTGTCAGATGTAGTCATTTCATATGCTATTTCTTTGCTCTAGCAGTAGATCTTAAGTTCTTGACTTTTGAACTCTTCTTCATCATCTCAGTGTAGAGTTTCAACTTAATATTATGTAGTTATCTTAATATCTGTAATGAAGTTTATTAATCTTGCAGTAGATTCTTTCTTTCTCATCATAAGAATTACTTATCTATAACAGATTGCATTGTTCATTATACTTAACTAGTAGCTTACATCCTCTCTAGTAAGAGTGTCATTTCTGTTGAAAAGTGTTTTTCCACTCTCTGCTAGATCAATGAAGAATCTCATTGCCAGCTTGATAGCTTATGTCATAGATGTGAAGATTGAACATGTCATTTTTACCTGTACATAGATCTTGCAGAATGACAAAGCTCTGTCACTCTTTATTCTCATTTCTAGTTATGAATCTGCTGTCATTTTTGTGATATTCACAGAATTCAGATGTTCTAGCTTTTGATGTCATTGCATCATCATAAGTTCTATAATCTTTATATTATTTCTTTCAGATAGTGTTAATATTGTGTCATCTTTCATCTGTAATGTGTTTACAGGTTCAAAATCATCATTGAGCATAGCAAACTGAATCAAGTCTCTGTATATAACTGGCCTTTTCATCTCATAGATATCATTCTTATTTAATCTTACTGTAAATGAGAACATGCAGTCTGAAGATATAATCAACATAGCATGATTATTCTCATATATCAACTGCTTATAGGTATAACTCTGATATACAAGCTTACTTATACTCATGAGGTTCACTTCTAACTTCAGGACATAGTGAACATCATTTAACAGTATATTCATCTCTTTCACTGAAATCTTCATATCTTCTATAGCTGCAGCAGAGACTACTGTTTCATCTGTTATTTTCAACATCACTTTCATCTTCTGAGGTTTTGTCATGACAAGATCTCTGTGAGATGTGATGTGAGTGCTCAATTCAGAGTCTAGAATTCAGGTATCTTTTCCTGTCTGGTCACTTGTATAGGCCTTTTCTTTGATGCAAAATACTTGCTTCATGATATTATGAACAGAAGCAGCATCTGTATTCTCTGCATTCTTGTCTTTATTCTTGTTTCTATTCATATTAGAGTTTGAAGAATGTTTCTCAGAGTATTTCTTTCAACAGTCAGTCTGAATATGACTAATCTTTTAATAATGATAGCAGATTCTTATATTATTATCTCTACATTCAGGTTTGAATTCAGTGTTCTTATTCTTGTCATTATCTTTGTTCTTGTCTTTCTTATCCTTGTCTTGAGTGTTATTCGCGGGATTTTTCATGGATTCAGTACTACTATTTTTCACAGTAGAAAGGCATAGAAGTATGTCACAGTATAATCTTATAAAGTCTTCTTCTAAAAATCTTAAATTGTTCTTATTAATCTGGTTCATTCTATTCTTTATGAAGAATGCTCAACCTCTATTGACTTCTGTCAGTAATTTATTAAAAAATATAATATCTTCAATCTTATATTTCAGATGAATATAATCAGTTCTGATAACAATCAGACATTCAATGAAAGCTCTGTCAGATTCTTTACTTTTAAAGATTATTTTAATAAGCTCTTCAAACAAATGAGTTCTATGTATAGCAGGTCTCTTGAAAAAGTTATTCTCTATGATAGTTTATAGAGTATAAGCTGATAATTTGAACTTCTTAAGTATAGTGAAATAAGTCTTAGCCTGTGAAATAATTGCAGATCACATGTAATTGTATAATCAAAGATTATATTCTTTTCAGAAATGTTACATGTTCATAGTAATATTCTTATCAAGATTATTATCTTCAAGAATATCATCAGTTTCAGACTGCTCTGCAGTCAAAAGAATTTCCTCTCTTCATATTAAGTAGTTAATGAATTCAGTGAGAACTATCAGTCTTTTAATAAGTCTTACTTAACTTCTGAATTCTTCAAGAACTTTTATTATAATAG